GGCCAAGGCCATCGACAAAGTCGAGATGCAGGAGAGCGCGGCAACAGCCATCCAAGCCCTGGCACGTGCCGACCTTGCACAAGTTTCCAATCGCTTACAGTCGATGCTTCTTCGCCTCGGACACCGGATGATGTTGTGTTGAGGTGGCCGTGCTGCTCGAAAGGCAACCGGGCTGGATGCTGATCCAGCACGGGCCCGAGAAGTCGTGACGGTGAGAGTGCGCTCAATGGGAGTTGCTGTTGAGCATGCTCCGCAAGGCCTGCGTATTTTAATTACAGGACTTGGGGCAGAAATCGTCCATTGAGCTTTGACCACCTTTCGGTGAATGGCTCAGGCTCAGTCCAGTACAGTGGAATCCGCGGGCAAAGAGGTGAAGGGTGTAGACAGCACGTTTGGGTAAGTCAGTGCAAGTGTTGCGCCAAGCTCCACAGGCAGCTGAAGTACAAGATGGGGCCATCATGCACTTCGTTGTGGAGGCATCGCTTTCTGGGCGCTGTCAGGCACTGCGAGGGGCTATCGTGCCTGACTCTCGTCCTGGCACAAGGATGGAGTGAGTTCGCTTGGCCTCGCTTTTTCCGACGTGCCACCCTCGCCTGTCATCATCTCCAAGGCACGACACACCGAACGTCAGCTTCCCACGAAGAGTTGTGAGGGCTACCAGTGGTTTGACATCTGCCTGTCATTTTGTGGCTTGTGACTTGTGCCTGATCCGTGCCGATGCTTTCATTAGAGTTTTTGCCCAAGACTGCCACAGCTTGTCCGCTTTCGAAGCTTCACACAATCCAAGCCATGGCTCGTGAGTGCCTTAGTGCTTGAGGTCTGTTCTTGCCGTGCTCTCGCAGCTTCCTCTCACAGTCTGCTGAGAAGCTCTGCGAATGCAGGTGGACGATCTGGCACCGTTGCCCTTGTCATCGCCGCCTTCTCGGCCCTCTACCTGGTGGCAGCACCCGTCCGGTGCTCACTTCCGAGACCCAGTCAGCCCCTACGGCCCTACGCCCATCTGGTGTTTTTCACGTGGTTTTGAGGCCTTCGTGGCGCCCCGCCAGGGCTCCACTCCCCAGGCGCTCCGACGCATTGCTCGAAGGCATTTTGCCCGGGCCGTGCCTTGCCTTTGCAGGTGGACGAGCGCGTGGTGGCCGCCACCTTTGCCGGGCTCAGCCCTCTGGCACTCGAGCAGCCTGCTGGCGCCTACGACTCCGTCGTGGCCATGCTCCAGAGTGCTTCAGCTCAAAGTACGTAGCGACGAAACCGATGGTGCTGAGTGGTGTCACGGGAATGGGTATCAATAGGATCCGGTAGGTGCATGAGCATGGGGTTGTAGCTTTGCAGCAGACTTCATGTGCCCCTCCAATTGCACTACGAGAGCTGGTTTGTTTCCAGCTCCATATGCTGCGAATCCCAAAGCGAAATTGAAAGTGGGTGCCTGCCAAGTGCTAGCGAGGGTTTCAAAGCGTTGGGAGGGTAGGCTCTGCATGACAACACAACTGTCGGTGCACTTCGTACAGAAGCCGTTGAAAGAAGCTCAGGCTGGCTGGTAGCTTGCCTGCAATCAGCTGCGGCACCGCTTGAGTCCACGCCGACAGCGGCTTGCGTCAGGTGGGAGGCATTGCTTTGGTGTTGATCTACGGGGCCGCACTCGTGGCGGCTGTGGCGAACCCTTTGACGAAGCGCCGTTTGGAGGCTTGGAGCAGAGAGGAGGGATAATTTTGTTCAAAGTCAGAGACGAGATGCCTTGCGTCTGCCTTGCCTGCAGGTGAAGTCTGAGGTGGATGCCATGAAGAGGTGAGAAGCACAGCCGTGAGCGCATTCCAGCGCAGGCAATCAAGGAGTCTTCATGTCTCAAGACAACAGCGACAGGTTCTTTGAAAGTGACAGCGTTTTCCTCAATGTAGGCCAGCGACCTGTAACGCGTGCGGCCGAAGAAAAGACTTTGCCCCAAGTTCAAGTGCAGCTATGCCTACACACACTCATATATACATATATATATATATATACACACATACACACACACACACACACCTACATTGTAAGATGTCTATAGGCATACACATAGGCATTCGTGCATGCACACATATATGCATGCGTGTACACATCCATGTATGTACTTCAGCATGTGTGCATGCATGAATGCATACATATCAACATAGGTTAATTAGCTAAATACATCTATTGCATATGCAGACGTATGTAAATCTGTATATGCACACATCATGCATGCCTGCATACATACTTGCAGAAAGTGCTTATGCATGTATGTAGGTATGTGTGTGTATATATATATATATACATACACGTATATTCACACACACACACACATACACACACACACACATATATATATATATATATGTATATATGTATTTATTTATGGATGGACGGCGAGTTTTCCTGTCACTCGCGACCAGGTGTCCGAGGGAAGTTGGGGACACAGCCGAGCTCACAGTTTCAGACCGCCTCAGACGCTTGCAGTGGGAGGGATTCGCAGAATGTCAACTCCAAGGTGCAGCTGTGCCTGTGAATGCAGAGATTCGAAGCATCAATGGGATCTCGGTTTCAAAAATGGATTCCCAAAGTTTCAAGGCCCGTGCATGGCGCAAAAGGTGTCTCTTCGTCATGGTCAGCTGCGCAGGCACAGCTGCAGCTCCGCCCAACGAAGCTCTCTGTCCGTGTAAGCGAAGGCCGTGCTTCCTTCCACTACTCTCTGTGTTTCGGAACAGAGTAATGCAGCTGCCAGGCGCGCTGCAAGCCAAAGCACCCCGAGAGGATCACTTGGACAAAGCAGGCGAGGGATTGAAAAGAAGATCGCAAAATGACTGCTTACGTTGTTTCTTCCTCCACTTTGCCGCCTTGGCCAGTTTGATTGCGGCGGTGAGAATAACTTGAAGTGCAAGTGTCAATGCAGCCGGATGGCGTGAAAGCATGAAAGGACGTATTCAACTCGCAGGTCGTCGTTTCTACCTTTGCCATAGATGGCTGACCCGGCATAGACACTTCCCACACACGGAAGGTAATCAGCTCGCGTCTCAGGCACCCCCCCGGCCAGCAAGCACGAACTTCAGGTGGGGCCACATCGGGTTCTGCATTTCGAGACTGCCACCTGTAGGTAGAGCACTTCCGGTATGATCTGCTGTGCAGGCGCACGATGAAGCAAACCTGCGATCAGAGCTTCGAGCCAAGGAGGAGGAACTCGCCAATCTGAAGGACCACCTTGCCGCTTAACTGAAGAAAGTGCAGCCGCTTTTCTGATGCCTTTAGCCACGTCGTTTCCTAAGGAGCAGGCCCAACGGGACCTCCAAGAGAAGTGCAAGGTCGGGTGACGATGTTCGTTCGTAGCTTGGTTCCGTGAACTTTCCGGCAGGAGCTGGAAGCCAGCGCGGAGGCGGCTTCAGAAGCGAAGTTGAAGCTTGTGACCGAGCTGGCTGAAAGGGACCGAGCCCCGTGCTCAGCTGCCTTGACACAGCGTGTGTGTTCCTCGGCGCTACTGCATGCTATCTGTACGGCCACGGCCAGCTGAGGAACTGGCGGATGCGAAGCTGGCCAAGAACCCCGTCGAGGATCCGCAGGCAAAAGATCATGTGTCTTGGCTAGTGGACAGATGCTGTGTCGGTTGACATCGGTTTTGTGGCCCCCTGCTCCTCGACCTGTTCTGTGTTCTCTTGGCGGTAGTCGTCGCGGTCGTCGTGGTCGTGTTGTGGCGGTGTGCTGGTGTGTTGGCGGTGGCGGAGCAGTAGTGATGATGACGAGGCACTGCACTTGGACCGGCACCCGAACACAAACCCCCAAAGCCCCACAAGCCCGAACCACAAAGCCTGCAACTCGACTTCCACAGCCATTTCATGTTAGACATCTATGCTGCATCAAGCAACTTCTGTGGAATCTGAGTCCTGTCTCGTCCGTCAGACTGCAGCCCCATGATCGTGAGTGCCAATGCTGCTACTGACATCGTGGTAAACCCCAAGACCAAACTGAAGCGAGGGCAGCAACAAAGGGTTGCAAGAAGCAGTCAGTCGTGAATGCGTGCGCTGCATTCAGGAGATCGCTCGGCTGCAAGATCAGCTTGCAAAAGCAACAGCAGACCTGCAAAGAAGCTCCGAGAAGCCAGACGAATTGCGCGGCGAGCAAGACCAACAACCTTTGCTGAAAGAGAGTGCATCTTGGACTTGCTTTGGGGTATTGCGGAGCCGGAACCCCCATGCCTTTAGCCACGTCGTTTCCTAAGGAGCAGGCCCAACGGGACCTCCAAGAGAAGTGCAAGGTCGGGTGACGATGTTCGTTCGTAGCTTGGTTCCGTGAACTTTCCGGCAGGAGCTGGAAGCCAGCGCGGAGGCGGCTTCAGAAGCGAAGTTGAAGCTTGTGACCGAGCTGGCTGAAAGGGACCGAGCCCCGTGCTCAGCTGCCTTGACACAGCGTGTGTGTTCCTCGGCGCTACTGCATGCTATCTGTACGGCCACGGCCAGCTGAGGAACTGGCGGATGCGAAGCTGGCCAAGAACCCCGTCGAGGATCCGCAGGCAAAAGATCATGTGCACTTTGCCCAGCAGCGCCAGCTAACTTTCAGCAGAAGCCATCTGCAACTCGGAATCTAATCATCCCCCCTGACAGCGGGAGCTCTCACCATGCAGGCGATGGGTGGGTTGCAAGATGAGCATAGCGAAGCAGAAGCCAATCATCAAGGAAGCGCCATAGAGTCGGAGGATGGCAAGCAAGTGCGGCAACTTCAGGAGCAGCTATCACGGCAAGAGAGCGAGTCTTGGCCTGGTTCTGCCAGCAAACTAAGTGACTAAGAGCAAACCATGGAGGCTCTTGTCTTGTTCTTCAGGAAATGACACTCGCAGACCTAGCGATTCTAAATTCGAGATGGCGCTGTCTCAGGAGCTTCAGCGCCTGATGGTAGAGCTTGAAGATGCGAACGTGGCACTTGCTGCCAAAGATGAAAAGCTCGACAGTCCCAGCTCGCGAGCTTCGTTCCAGATCTCGCCAAGCTACTGGGCCCCTCGCCTTTCTTCAGACCGAGGGCAGTGCAACGAAGATGTCAAAACCGGAGCTGTCAGGAGACCGTGGAGCTGCAGGCCTTGAAAGAGGAGCGTCGGTCCTCGGCCATCCAGCTTGAGATGATCCCAGCTGTGTCCAGGAGCTCCAGCAAAGAGATGCCGAGGCAAGAACGTCTCCGTCTCTTGTGGCAGAGTCTTGAAGTTGCAAGTTGCAGAAAGCCATGCAGCGAAGTCCATCAAGCACTGTTGCGGTCAGTCGGACGCATTTTGAATCACGGACACGTGCAAGGAGCATGATACGGATCGATCGATTGGCAGGGCAACCTCATGCAGAACTGAGTACCTCATGACACACACACACACACAAGATCGGAATTCCCATTCAAGCCAAGCCCAAGTGACAGACTTGCAGCGCCAATGATCGCCCATGTTCAGGGACATGAGTCACGTACATGAGCTTCCAAGTGGGCATTTGCCAAGTGCAATATACAAGTTCAATCACATAAATCTCCATGACATAAGCCGGAATTCGGGCGGCCAGACAGGGATGCCAGCAAGAATTGGGGCCCCCGACCGACATTCTACTCTGATGCGTGGACAACTCCACGAAGTCGAGAACCGATGTGATTCGCAGGTGCAACGCCTTCGAACGAGCCTCGCTGATGCCGAGACAAAGATTCCAAGCGTCAAGGCGCCCGCGCACGGGGCAGGGCCGGGGCTGCGCCGCTGTGCAGTGACAGGACGAGGAGACCTTGAAGGCCACGGTGCCCAAGTCCGTCAACCACTGGGGCTTTCGGCTTCAGCGCGGACTGGTCTATGAGGCCCAACCCAGCGCAGGGGCCAAAATTCTGAAGGCGGGCTTTCGGCTTTCTCCATGTGCAGGTGAAGAAAGGAGGCTGGGCTGAGGCCGTGAGCCTGAGACTGGGTGCTCGACTCAGACTCGGTGGCCAGTCGAAAGTACCGGGGATACTCGCAGCCATTCGCGGCCTCTGCATAAGTGGAGGCGATCGGTTGTTGACGATGCAGGGAAGGCCCGCTGCAGACTACAGCAGGGAGGAGTTCGACCGAGCCCCGTGGCTGCGGAGTCATGCTCGTCGGCTACGTGTGTTGGGAATCGGCGCCAAGCTGAGGTGAAGTCTGAGCGGCCTCTGCAGCTGAAGTTTCAGCGTGGCGGGCGGAGGCAAGCAGAGGAGGTGGCGTCGACGAGGATTCAAGCCAACTGGAAGGGCAAGAAAGCGCGGAAACTCCCGCAGATCGAGGCTCGGCTTCGCATTGGGGACGGCGAGATCTTGACGGCGACGGCGGAGGGACGTGCCGAGCTCGGCTTCAAGCTTGAGCGCTGGCCACCAGCCCCGCGGGTGCTGGTCCTCTCTGTCCGAAGAGGTGGCTGGGCAGGAGGAGTTGGGATGAAGCCAGGGGACGAGCTGCTGACGGTGAAGGGCCATTCCCTCCAGCACCTTGACCGCGGAAAGTTCCAAAAGCTTATCGACAAGGAGCGTCCGCTGGAGATCACTTTTTGCCGCGGCACGAAGGAAGACGTGCAAAGGATTGCATCAAGCAAAATTCAGGCAGGCTGGCGACAGCGACGTGTGGAGGAGGGCAGTGCGCCCAAGGCAGCAAGCCACCCCCCAGCCGCACCTGCGCAAGCGCGGATCTTTGCCATGATCAGCGAGAGCACCGAGGGAGCCACCGCCTCCGAGCTGAAGGGGCAGCTGGCAGAAAGGGAGCGGGAGCTGAAGATCCTCCGCCAGGAGCTCCGATAATGTGCGCGCTGCTGTAGACTCTAAGTTACGTGAGGCCCTTCAATCACAAAGCCGGCCCCAGAGGAGTTTTCGAAAGCCGAGTCCATGTTCCAGACGAGCCTCAGAGACATCTCGACCGATTCCTCCAACTCTGCGGTGGAGCTGGCCTCCTTGAAAGCACAGCTGGTTGTGGAGCAGTCCAAGGCTGCGAAATGCCAAAGCGACACCGCGGCCAAAACCACGAACCTTTCGGCGAAGCTCCAAGTGGAGCAGCGCAAAAGCGAAGCTCTAGAGACGCGTCTCATCCAGGCAGCTCCTCAGCTTGCAGTACTCGGTGAAAAGATGCTCTAGAGTGAGAGTAGTGTAGTTAACTCGATCAGGATTGATAGGATTGGGGGTAGTTCTCGACACCAGTCGGGCCCATAGCGAACTTTGGGCGCGGCCCGGCCCTTTGTCCTGTATAATATGCAGCTTTGACTCGGGGACCAGCCGTGTCGACGGCTTGTGGGTGCGCAGCAGGAGGAGATGCAGGTGAAGCGGCAGCCTCGCGACAAATCCCAGGCTTGAAACAGTGGCACGGCGAGGGTGCCGTAGCACCCCTATAAGCAATTGGGAGGCAGAGCAGGCAGACAGTCCAGCGTGCCATGCAGCATCACGAGTATGTCATAAGTAAGCCATCAATTGATGCATGCCTTTGGAGGAGTCATGAACTCAACTTGATTTATTTGTTATTGTACTGCAGTGTAACCAACCAACAAGCGACGAGTTGCAGGATCCGACCCAGCTTGCCGGGTTGAACACCCACGGGTGGGTAAAGGCAGGGAAAGGAAGAAACGGAGACGACGTATGCACGCACCCGTCATCCCTCGCTGGGCCTTCAGGCTGGTTTCTGGGGGAACAGCCACGTCCACGTTGGCTTGAAGTCAAGTCTTGAAGTCCTGAGGAAGTGATCCATCAAGAGCAGATGGGCGAAATCACGGACTTTCTGACAGAGAAGCAGCAAGAGCTTCGTCTTTCTGACGCGGACCTGATGGAGATGAGTGCTGGGCGGTTTGCTTCCGGTTCCACTGGGCCGAGTGCATCTCTGCTATATCTTGAGACACAGAACATGCATGCAGTGCCCTTTGAGTTGGAGCGAAGGAGATGAAGGAGTTGAAGGAAAGGCTGGCAGAGGAGCAGGCCAAGGCAGGGCGCAAGTTGCGAATAACCTGCAGCAGCCGCATGCAGGCTCTGTCTGTGTTTGTGTGTGTTGTCTTTGAAGGTCTCGCAGGCGGAGCGGAAGCTCGTGAAGAGCTGGTCAGACCAGCGTAGCTCGGCCAGCCATAGCGAGCCATTGTGAGCCAAGCGCAGCCCCGAGCCAAGAGCCAACAGCCAAGCGTCTCCCAGGAGCGATCGACCTGCAGTGGCAAGCAGAGGTGGCAGCCCGTGATGAAAGGCTGAAGGAAGTCCAAAAGGACCTGGCAAAAGCAGAGTGGTGGGCCTCACTCTCCAAGCGTTCTCCTCAACACAAGGCTCCTTCTTGTGGGCCTGTCATTTACCGGCCGTTAACTAGGTTAGGTTGGATGAAACATGGATGTTCCAGGAAATCCTCGACATCAAGGAAGAGCTGTCCATGGAGCAGTCAAGAGCCTCTCGTGCGGAGAGGCCCCCACCCGAGACATGATTTCTTAGTTGGGCCGGCGCAGAGTCAGGAGACTGGCCGAAGCTCAGGCGCTTGGCCTCCACGTTCGCTGCTCTTTTTTTTTTTGTTTCGGCTTCTGCTTGGCACAGGACGCTGCTCGGCTGCTTGAAGAGATGCAAACTCTTCAGGCTCTGCAGCTGGTAGCTTGTGGAGTGACCCTCGCCTCTTGTGCACCGGAATCCCCGCGGTACAGGACGCCCTCAATCACGAGGAGGAGTGGCTGTGCGGAAGATGTGCTCATACAAGTTTTGGCAGCATAGGAATCAGGAGCAATGTGTCGTAAGCATCCCAAACTTTTTGTCCAGATGATGCTGCAAACTTTTCAAGTCTTGATGGAAGCATCAAGCCCAGATGGTAACAGAATCGTCAAGCAAGCGTCTGACAGGCCTGCGTGTTGCAGATGAAGACGGCTCTCATTCACGAGGGGGCCTTTGAGTGTGCGGCTTTGTTCTGTTCCTCTCTCCCTTTAGACGACCCACCAGGCTCAAGCGCAGCGGCAGCTCACGGCGGAGGTCGCCACACAAATCCAGGTGCACGGCCATGCAGGGCTCACTCGTGATGGTCACAGCCTCTGGTTTCAAGGCAGCAGCGGATGCGACGGCCAAGGTCCCATGCTGTGATGCTGTCACAGAAGCCATACAAACTCCGTTTCTGTCATTGCGAAGGGGAACTTGGAGCAGCTGAGCTGGGAGCTGCTGGGCTGCAGCTGCAGTTTTGCGGCTCGCATATCTGCTCACCACAGCATTTTCCAGGTATGGGAGGCAGCAGCGTGAGCTGCAGAAGGAGGGCCGGGGCTGCGGGGACTGAGGGGATCCCATCCGTATCTTCCAAGAAGCCTGCGAAGGTGACGTCCGAAGAAGCAGCAGCAGTAAAGATGCAGGCCAGGACACGCCGGCCCCCCAGAGTTGAAGTTTGGATGAGATGAGAGCTGAAATGTGCTTGCTAAGGCGGGAATCAAGCACGCAAGCAAGTAGCGGTCATGAAGGCCAACAAGAAGGCATGTTGGGGCAGACTTGATGCAGTCGCCCTGTTGGCTAGCTCGGCGCACAGCAGGCAGAGATTCAATCGACTGAATCTGCCGAAGACCCGAAATCTGGCACCACGACAGGCCATGAGGCGGTTGAGCTGTGTTGGAACAGCATGGAACAGCACCAGCACAGGTCCTCCCAGCTCCACACCTCAAGAGAGCAAGAAACAAGACAAGGATCAGAAGGCCAAGCATTCAAGCGCCGACCGCAAGAATCACTGCCGTCTCCGTTGTCGAAAGGCTCTTGACTCCGAAACCCTCGAGCTTCGCAGCAAGCTGACGACTGCGTTGACAAACTCGGCTCAGAGTGGCGCTCTCGCAGAAGGGTTGGAGAAGGCACGCATTCCAGCAAAGCTGATGCGATGCTACTACAGGCGATGACGACGCGATGTGTCGCGCTTGCGCCTGGCAGGTGTACGGGCAACCCTCCCGTGCCGTGCAGACGCTTCGAAAGGTGAGCCGTGACGACACCTTTGCTTCACCGATTTTTGGGTCCTTACGCCACCTCCGGGTACCTGCGCAGGAGGTGGCGGCCTTGAGACAGAAGCTCTCGCTGGCGGAGGCCGGGGAGGGGACACAGCTGTCTTTGCTGCCTTAGAGGGGCCTTCTGCTGCGATCCACGCTCGTAATTCAAGGCCTCCAGGGCCGTGACGCCAACGTCGACGCCGATGTCACGAAGGAGCGGTTCTGACTTAGCCGAGGCCAAAACCCGAAACCCTCCAAGCCCTAAACCCCCCAAAGGCCCAAATGGTGCAAGGCAAGTTCCGGGGGCTCCAGGCTCGCTCCTCCAAACTGGCCGACTATCCCTCGGTTCTTTCACACTATGCATCTACTCGAGCCTTGCATGAGCTATGTTTTTGTAACCATGCATGCAGCTCGCCTCTCGCGAAGTGCAGCTCCTCGGTATGAGTCGGCATCGTCTGGCGTGCATGAGCCGTTCAGGACTCCTGCGAAGAAGAAGCTTCAGCAGTCGCCAAGTTCTGCTGCTTGGCACAAGCCACTGAAGGTAGTGACATTCGTCTCGATGAGTGCTCGACCCGGTGGTGAGGTGCGTTTCGCCATGGAGGACGAGGCAGCCGAGGCAGCAGCAAAGCGCAGCAAATGGGCGGCTTGCGGCTTTTATCCCCGCCACCAGGCCCAGGCAGCTTCGCCCGCTTCCGCTTCCGCTTCCGCTTCGGGAGTGCAGGCCGGTCCTCGGCGGGGGAAGTCCCTGGGTCGGGTCACCGCTGTCTCTGAGGATGCGAAGGTGAAGCAGTCCGAGGCAGAGCCGCAGATGTAGCTGTGATGCCTTTGCGAGGACAGAGCGCAGATCTTTCGAGAGGACCCTGTCAGAGCGAGCAGCTCACAACTTGCCCCCAGTGGTCTTGCGCCATGGGAGGAGGCTGCCAACTTCTCGAAGCAGATGGTCGCTTGGCTGAGGCTGGCAAGGCCAAGCAGGTGTCAAGCACAGCTGAGGAGCAGATGCGCAAGGAACAGGTGCCCTCTGAAGCAGTAGATGCAAGGCCTGTAACTGCTCTTCGGAATGAGAGGTGAAGATGAAGCATGAGCTGGATGAGTCGAAGGCACTAGCAAAGTTCCGCATGCGTCACTTCGGCAGCGCCTTTTCTCGCCGCTGTCATGCATTTTGCATTGCAGGCGCAGGTGTTGGCCCAGGACTGCTCAACTTGAGACTCAGGCGTCAGCAGAAGCATATTGTTGCGAATTCTGGTAGCAGTGCTGCATCGTTGTGGCACTCTGCCGGCTCGAGCAGTCCAGGGCTTAGAGTGGTAGTTCCCCCCTTGTATGCACCCTTCAGTGTGATGGGGCTTTGACGTCCTCGAACCTCTCAAGAGTCTTTCCGCGACTCCGCACAATTTGGAATCGAATGCTTAACTTCGAGTACCCGGTTTCCTCCTGCTGTTTGCTTGTTCCTGAGGCCTCCTTGACCATGCCACCCTACGGCATAAACAGCGTCTTCAGCCAGCCGCCGTCACAAGGTGCTGAACTCGGTCTAAGTGCCGAGGAGTTTCGATGAGCTGGCACGGAGCTTAATCAAGGCAGAGCAGCCCCGTATCCGTCAAAAACGACATGGGCACCGCAGCACCAGCAGACCTCACCCGAGCCCGAGCCTCATGACAGGGATACCGACTCCCGGCAACTTTTCAGGAGCCCTTCTCCAAGCTGAGGTGGGCTTCCCGGCAGAACCCTCCCGTGACGACTCAGGCCGTCGAGTCTCCAAAAGGCAGCAAGAACTCAAAGAACTTTGCGCTTTTTTTCCTGCGGCCTTCTGAGCCATGAGCCTCCTCGCAGGCCGGAAGGGAGGATCTGGCGGAGGTCCATCACGGAGCGGCCTGCACCCTGACACGGCAAAAAAGGCTTCAGCTTCCGAAGACTTTGGGCAGGATGGGTTCGACGGGGGAGTGGAGCACGAAGCCGGGCATTGTTTAGTCAGTGTACTCACTCTGTGTACGCGTCTGCATCCTATAATATGTGCGCCTACATATCTGCGTCTGTCTGCCTGCCTGTCTATCTATCTGTCTGTCTTTAAGTCTGCTGTCTGGCCATCCTGCTGTCAAGCCATGTGGCCATCTGGCCATCTTGCTATCCATCCAGCCATCGATCCATCCGTCCATCTGTCCGTCTATACCATACATCTATCCGTCTCTCCATTTTGCATCTACCTACCTATCTACCATGTGTAGAGCATATATCTGTATTTTGGTTCTCCGTACTGGAAGATTTGTTGTTGCCAGCATCGGGATAAGCTGAGGTCTGCAAGCGTGCAGGCGGTGGCTGCAAGGCTCGAGGCTGGGTCCAAGGGCCCGACAGCAGGAGGAGACTGGACCTCCCACGCTGGGGGCTGCGGGGGCCGCTGGGATGCAAGACACGTCTTCTGTCCTCCCGTCGTTTTGTGCATGAACCTTCTGCAAGGTCAGCCAGAGTCCTACCTTCAGCAGGTCAAGCAGAAGTTGTCCGGAACGGCCAAGACGAGCACGGCCCACGTGACGCATTCCCAGCCTGATCCTGCCACGAGCAGTGTGGGAACACGAGTGGCGACTCAAGGCCACGGGAGAGCTTTGTCGGCTTGGTACCAGTAGCATACAAGCATTACAAAGCAGCCTTTTGTCTCCTATGGTGAGGATCCGCGCTCAAAGCCTTGTCCGAGCGCTTGGGGAGGGCACGTGGAATGCCCGGAGGGCCGCAGGCCAAATCGAAAGCGAAGGCGACCTTCCCGGCAGTGCCCGTAGCACATGCTTACCGCCACAGCCGCTTGCCAGAAAGTAAAAGGGGCCACGTTCTTGCAGAAGCCATAGCCGGGGTTTTTGCTGTTTGTGAAGATAGCTCTGGGCCGAAGTCTGGCACCCTGGCACTGCGAGTCTGCACTGAGGCACGCCGGCGTCCATCACGAAGCCGCTTTGGTCAATGCAAAACAGACTCCAAGGGAATGCCTGTGAGTCTTGCAGATGTGCACGCAGTCCAATGGTTCCGTTCACACATCGGCCTTGTAGGAGACCCTGCGCCGAAGAGATTCCAACCGCAAGAGAGATTCCAGCGTGCGAACTGAGAGGGAGAAGACTGACAAGGCACCGTAGCCAGGGCTGGGAATGCATTGGGCCCAGATTTTCTTTGCAAGGCGATCCACCTTAGCGAAATCTCAGCAAAGGCCGGGCGCAGCTGGAACCAGAACCGTGCCTCTGAGTTCGTGCGTGGCAGCAAGGAATCGATGCTGGAAAAGGCGCAGGAGGTGGCCAGGCTCCTGTATCAGGCAGCAGCAGGTGCGACCAGTGGGCGCAGGAGATCCGTGCACTTCAAGATCAGAAGGCTGACGCTGAGAAGGACGGAATGCTGCGGTCCGCTGCCGGTAATGCTTGAATCACCACCAGCATGGAGTTTCAATGATTTGGCGCCGCTCTGGGGTTTGGGCTCGAGGTTTGCAGGCAAGGCTCGACTGTTGCAAGCGACGGGGCATCTACCGGTTGCATCCCCTCAGACCTTGCCGTGGCAACAATCTGCTGCCTCTGAATGGTCAGACTGAACAACAGCCCTCGGAGGAGCGGCAGATGATCCGCAACGTCCTGGCCTAAGCTCGGAGAGCGAGCAGGCATCTCATTCCCGGATGCAGCTTCCAATCAGCGTCGGGACAGGGGCGAGTAGCCTGCAAAGATTTCATTCGGTTGGCAGGGGCATCATCGGCGGTAGGTTTTCGCGCTGAGCTTTTCGACATGAACTTTAAAGATGCGGCTGCTGGCAGAAGCATCTGGAACAGGGTCGGGTTGAAGCCGCGGCAAGACGCGCCACCTGTTTGTCTTCTCCTTTGGGTCTTCCTGAGGAGAACTCCTCGTACTCCTCCCCAGAGCTGCAGGAACAGGTGCGCCAGACAGCGAAGCCAAGACACATCAGCCGCAGGGGGCTTCGGGTTTTTGCGAGGCTGCAGAAAATCGCCAGCTGCAGTTCGGCCCCTGGGCCTCGAGTGTCCATCTGCCTCACGTGGAAAGCTTTAGTGGGCCTCCGGGCTCCCTGACGGATCCTTCGCATGAGGTGCTCCCTGAACATGCAGGAGGAGTTGAGTACAGAATTGAGAAGACGTCTCTGGGAGGTGGGAGCACTGGAGCCCTGAGCAGCACATTCTCCTTTCTGGCCCCCCGTAACTTCCCAGGCACGAGATGAGCTGACTGCTGCGAAGTCCATGGGATGGCAGCCAGAGGCGCCCTCGTGAAATTTGCATCTTCTTCTGTCATTCGAAAACATGTTTTCCCCAGAGACCTCCCTACGGCCAGACTTAGGGTCGCTCGAACTTTCATCCGATAGTGGCAGTGGGCAGGTGCCGGTTCAACCAAAGGCGCCCGAAACGCAGTCTCCACCAAAGGTGGAACCGCAGGCAGGGTCCGTCTTCCTCGGCGGCTTGTGACTTGTTGTGTTCACAGTGCCAGTCTCGGAAGGAACTGCATGCACTGCCATCGGCGGAAACGGATCTGGGCTCCGTTCCGACTGTGGAGGCGCGTTCGCGTGGGACTGTTGCAAGGGAGCAGAGTGTGTGTAAGCCATTGCACCTAGGTGACCCAGAATGAGGATTCCGCAGTGGGACAGGCTTTTCGCTCCAGTCTCAGATGTTTGGCCCCGACGTGGCACGCATGGAGACTCTGCGCCGCTGCTCGCTCCCCTTTGCGTTTACATTTCATCGTGTTTAAGCCTAGGCGGCTAGGCGCCCAGGCTCAGCAAGGGGCTAAAGGTTGTTAGTGAGGCCACGAGCAGGAAGTGGCCCAGAACCTGCGCCTTGAGCTGCGAGAGGCACGGTCCCAGAGAGAAACGAGAGGAGAATTCCGGTCTTCCAGCCATGAGCCTCCGGCGCAGGTTGAGACAGCTGCAGTTGCGACAGCAGAGGTCCGCATGGGTCGCCTCAAAATACCGCTATTGGTGCAGATCTGTCGTCTGCATGCTCGACCTTTTTGCGAGGCTGCCGAGGCTCGAATCTTGCAGATAGAGGCAGGTGAGTGTGGTGGCAGAATCTGCAGACACTTTCTTGCTGAGTTTGCCTGGATGTTGAGCAGGCCATGGATAGAAGAGGGAGAGTGGCCCTGCACATGGCCGAAACTGCTGCTGAGAAAGAGGTGGTGGACATTGGTACATTGCTGCAGTTTACACCGCATGTCGATGACATCGCAGGTGGTGCTGAAGCAAGATGCCATCAAAGCTGCATGCGAGGCACAGAACCCCGCAACCAGGCAGCTGTTCTAAGTGGCGCAGTCTTCATCTGCTTGGACAGGCCGAAGCAGTGCTGGACCAGGCGCGATCCAGATGAAGCTCCATAGAAGCTCAGAAGTTTTGTGCAGCCATGCGCAGCCCCATGGGGCTCATGTCTTGCGATGTAAGGAAAGGATCCAAGCAGTGCTTGTAAGGGCTGGATAGAAAGCTTTGCTTGGAATTTCTGGAGAAGGCTCGAGGTGCAGAGCAGCGCCTGCGCCACGAAATCTACGAGCAGTCTCAGGCAAGCCGTTCAGGCATTGAGATCATGGGGGATCCCGTGCGTCCAACGGAGGCAGCTTTCCGTGAGAGTGCCGTCTGCGATGGCCTCCGAAGAGCTCTGATGAATTCCGCCGTCTCGGCGAAAGCTTTCGGGGAAGGAGGGAGGAGAAGAGCCAGCTGCTTGGACTCGACGTTTATTGATGCCAGGTGGAGCAGGAGATGGCCCAGGAGGCACGGCAGAGAGGGAACCCTGCGGCTCTGCACTTTGCTCGCGCTATCTCGGGCTGTGCAAGGGTTTTGGTGCGTTCGCCTGTCAGGCTTTGCACGCTGCACACACTCGGCCCGCCGCCAATCCGATCCCGGAGAGGCATCTCCGAGCGCGAGCCCAACCCCGACTGCCAGCTGTCGAGTGCAGGTCGTCGGATCCGGCGTCAAAGCCAGCCTTCGGCCCCAGCAAAGAGCATCCTCCTGAAGCATATACCCCAATACTCGGGACCCTTTGTCTGAGGCACAGAGACCTGGCGAGGCTCCGGGCGGGTCTCCTGGAGGCTCCAAGACTGCAGTCGCCCACTGCATTTTTCATGCATTTTGGCACTGCGAGGCCGTGGAGCCCAGCCATCCCAGCCTTCTCCCCCGAGAGCTTCGCAGCTCTTCGCTACGAAGCTGTCGAACCGGGAGGAGACAGCGAGAAGGTGCCAAGCGGTTTAAGCTCGCTTGAGCTGGAGGACCTGAAGCATGATCTGATGTCGCCCATAGACGTGAAATCATGGATGGTGTGGGGCCTAGCCAGCGAAGAGAGCTGAGGCTACACGTGGCTGCACGCTGAGAGCTCGTGCTCAGGAGCCCTCGATGATCTCGCAGCCCTCTCTGCTGAGTGCAGCAGCCAGCGAGGTTCGGGAGCGGGGCCATAGGTGAAACAGCAAGTCAGAAGGGTTCATGTCGTGTGCGCTGCATAGGCCGCCAGCCTGCGAAAGGAGGCCGAGCAATTGCGGAAGGAGGTGCCAGAAGCAGGACCTCTTTTCTTCAGAGGAATTCTTAGAAGAACGACGACCGATAGTTGTGCAACCGGTCTTCTAGCAAAGAAAAGCAGGTTTGATTTGCGTGCTTTGCAAGGTGAAGCACTGGCGTGCTTCGCGCCCAGCTCGTGCTGAGCCCACGGCTCCCAGCGAAGCTTGGCTGAGAGCTCGGCGCAGCAACGAGTCAGAGACTGGTCTGTTGGAGCCTCGGAGCCTCCTGCCAAGGCCCGCCTCCCCGGAGGGAGTGTCCAGCACGCCTGTGCCAGCTTCGGCGACAAGCCCGAGGGCAGCACGCGGCGCATTGAGAACAGATTCAGAGCAAGGCGTGGCAATGTGGCAAGCGCCTCGAGTTGAGTTGATGACATGCACCTTCAGCAAGGTTTGAACCGAGAGGATTCATGGAGGCATGTGGCTCTTGCCAGCAAGACAGCACTTGTATTGCCCAGTGCAACAGGCGGGGCTCGGAAGCCTCCTTTGCGCAGACGCAGGCTTGGTGTGAGATCTTGGGCCATTGTAATGTGGAAGTCTGCGAAGGTGCCGAGCCCCCGCTCGCAACAGCTGCCAAAGCTGCATGAGCAGCCACCCCCGCGGCCACCGCCTGGAACCCGGGAGCACGTGCAGAAGCGTGTGTCTTGTGTTCTTCCTGTGGCTGTGGCGATGCCGAGGCCAGGACGGACGTGACTGCTAGGCTCGGGTCTGTGGGCTTCCATCAACGAGAGGTCATTCGCTTTGTTCAGGCCCCGCCTGAGCTGAGCACGTCTGCTCCTTGCTGCACTTCCGTGCACATCCCGATAACGAACGTTAGCTTTTTTTGCAGGAACAGTTCTGTCACCTCGATAGTTGCAGCTGAGTAGCTAAAGTGTTTCTACAAGTCCGACATGTTCCTGCAGCGAAAGCCAGCCCAGCTAGTAGCAGTGCAAAATGTTCTCCAGTGAGATTCGCCTCACCATCGGATGGAGTAGTGCCCTCCAGACGTTGTTCTCCTTTCGTGTTTGGCTCAGCACCTACCCTTGTACAGATCCACACCTGTCGCGCCTCTGTGGTGCTGTCTTCAGGCATGAGAACTGACCATGAAGCACTTCCAGGGGTTCAATTCGACCCTTCCAGGACACCATGGGCGAATTAGGAGAGCGGCAAGATCCATCGGGTGGCGTCATGTACAATCAGCCTGAAGCCAAACTGACTTCAGCACAAGTCTTCCTGACCTAAGGCCGTGCAGCTAGCCCAGTGTTGAGTTTAACGCTGAAGTTGCTCTTCTGCGGGATTCAGGTTCGACCGCGTCAGGGTCAGGACCTGAGTGCGACGTTGTGAGCATTGTGACCCTTTCATTGCAGCCGGGGTGTGCGCTGCAAGGTGGAGTATACATGGAAAGACCGCATCCGCAAAGAGACTGAAGCACGGCTGTCAGGCCACGGTGCTGAGCCGACACTTTGCTTCCTTCCTTCCCTCGCACTCTCGCACCCTCCACCCTCGCACCATCGCGCTCTCGCTCTCTCGGTGTCTCTCGCTCAGCTCAAAAGCCGCAGCAGGTCCTAGGTCGGGCTTCCAGATGAACATGGCGCAGCTGAGCGCCAGTGGTGGCTTCCTCCACCTCAAGCCGGGGCCTCTCTTCATCGTTAGTTTTGGTCCCTCCCAGACTGCATACTCGCAGGCACGCCCACAACCGATTAGAGACAGTTGTGGAGAAGGACGGGAGATGCAAGGCTGGGCTTGGCCTTGGCTTGGAGGCTTCGTGCTCGGCCTGCAGGAGATCAAGCAGTCTCCGCAGCAGCGAATGTCAGCAGAAGGAATGGACCCCAACAGCATGGAGGCGCCGTGACGCCGTCCCGCGGGCTCGCACCGCACTTGGGGTTCGGCTCAGAGGTCCTCGCCATCAAGCACATGGCGAGAAGGCCGCCAGAGAAGTCGCAGTCTCAGACGACTTGGGAGAGGGACTGCGTCGCTCTTCGCTGCGCTGAGCAGGTTTGACACGCCTATGACAACCACACATGAGCTAGGCAGCCAAACGCAGATTTTGCTGCCACATGTGTGAGTGCTGCCAGCAGTCCCTTTCGCTGTGGAAGCTTTGCCCTTTCGCCGTTGACAATCGCTTGTTTGCGGAATTTTGCCGACATGCAGCTGCTCCATCGTCCCCTACATAGAAGCAGCCTCCTAAACAGACTCCGCTTTCTAAACGGCACAGCACATCAAGGATGTCAAGGCCAAGGCAGCGTTTGCAGCGTTTCCCGGCTTTTAAGGGCCCCAGCGGCCCAAGGGCCAGTCGCCTCAAGGCGCCATGGCCAGAGCTCACGAGCTTTGCACCGGGATGGCACCGGAAGGATACCCCGTCCGCCCAGTGGACAAGCTCCTTGGACTGACCTTAGGCACTTTAGGCACTTTAGGCACTTTAGGCACTTTAGGCACTTTAGGCACTTTAGGCACTTTAGGCACTTTAGGCTTCAGGCGCAAAGTTTCGAGAGTTGGGAGAATCGAAGTCAGGTGGTTCCTGAAGACGAAGGCGGACCTGGAGCTCAATGGTAACTCCTTCGGAGGGCACTTCCTAGACACGACCACGCCGCTCCTCTGAGCGAGGCGGAGCCGTAGGCCCGGGTTTCTGTTCCTGGCTTTGCTCAGGTCGCACGAGCTGCCCAGACACGTCCTTGAGAGAACCAAGTTCACGGTCGCATGCAATCGGGGCGCAAACCCAGGCGCGCCCTCGAAGCCAGTGCTCTCCCAGTTGCATCAATTGCTCTGCAGGATTGGCAGACGAGCCTGGCAGCCGGCACAAGCCTCTGCCGGATCTGTCGCCTCAACAGAAGTCCCCCAAAGCAGGACCCTCACCAGCGCAGAAAAAGCGCCTGCGCCTGCCTCCAGCAGATGAGTCGCAGTCGCTGAGTTGCGTTTTACCGACTTTGCTGTTTTTCGAGGTGTGAAGATGTTGTGTAAGTCGTCTCTGTCAGAGTGGGACGTTTCAGAGATCACCAAGCGGTGAGGCAGCCCGAGACGTTGCGGCATGGAGGTCGACAGAATGCATCCGCATCCACTGGCGATCTCCATCGCCTTCCCCAGCTTGGGCAAACAGGAGGCTCAGCGAAAGCGAAGTTGTTGTGTATTCCACGCCAAACCGGATTCGCGACGGAAGGCTTCCACATGGATCCAGGAAGGACGACGAGGGGAAAGAAGCTGAAGTGGCATGCTTACATTGGCGGTCCTCGTGTGCTTGTGCATGTGGTCAGCTTCTTGCTTGGTTAAGGACAATATCCGCCGACACCCGCTATGCAAAGCGGGGTTGGGGACGCGGTGGGCCGATGTTCTGGCCTGAAAGCTCCTTTTGCATGAGTCAAACAATGACGAATTTGCACGGCTACTGCTAAGTCGCTTGCATTGCAACTCTGCAGCCTGCAAGTGTAACAACAGCTTGAAACTGGCTGGAATCCACCTCGAAGGCGTGGTTTTGGTCAGCGCTTGTTGAACATTCTCCGTGTTTGGTCAGGAAGGTCATACAGCTTCGGTCTGGTAAGAGCAGCGCTGATCCATTTGAGATTTACGCCGTTTACAGTAGTTATGTCTTTGCGGGCTCCCGTCCCAAGAGAACTCCTCCAGTTGTTGTGCACGGGCATGTCCTTGTGCACCACTGTGTGGGCACCTGTTCTTATCATGGTCTACGTTGGTAGCAGGCATAGCAGCTCGATGTCTTGTGGCCATCGTGCCCGTACGCCGTTCGTATCCAGCTGGTAATCCAGTCGTTTACTGACCAGCCCGAATGTCGGCACCTGAATTTGCGTGCATGCGTCGTTTTGCCAGCTACGAGCTTGATGGCTCTCTGAATTTTGCAGACTTCGCAGACTGCGAAGCATGTAGGACAATGTAGGATAGGCTCTTGCAACAACATCAGACGATACCCCAGTGCTTTGGCGCTCTGGCATTCCTGGCAGCCAGACACAAACATGCATGCGCGTGGGCACGCTTTTTGCACGCAGCTCAGTGTCGTCAGTGTTGCCACTCTGTCAGCTGGACCCTCAACTGCTCTGATTGAAGGCTGGCTATTGGAAAGCCCAGTGCAGTCGAAGACGTGGGTCTCTCTGTACACAGCACGAACTTGGAGGATGCTGCAGGCAGAAGATTTTCCGTGCAAAGCTTAGGCTCTTGCCGCTTCCGAAGGAAACCATGCGACTTGACCTCAGTGCATCCAGATCTAGCTAGGCCTAAACAGTGCGAGGTGGAAGGGGCACATACTCCGAAATGTGCTGTTCCTGGCAGGGAAGAGTGGGAGCACAGGGCAGATTAGTGCGACTCCTGGCTGGGTTTGAGAAGCATCCTCTCATACAGAGCTCACTTGTTCGTCTTTCTTCCGGCCCAAGCACTTGCGTGAATTAGACTTTACAAGAAAAACACTGCAGCCTAGCCAAGAGGCGACAATGACAGGTGAGCATCACAACGGTCTTCAGGATATTCAAGATGGTTTCATCATCATGCAACAAGCAACACGAGATCCAACCGTGAGATTAGCATTGCGAGACTGCTCATCGCGGAACAAGCGTGGGATCCAAATCAAATTCCACTGCTGACATGCAACCCGGTGCTTGTGAGCAATCGCAGCTTCGCCAATGGCATCTGAAAGGACCCGCCTGTTTCTTTTTTTAAGACTGTACCTTCTGCCCTCACGTTTAGTGAGAGTACCAAAGCGTACTGGGAGTGCTTCATCACGCGTACGAACAGAGTGCCAACACGAATTCCAAAGCAAGCTAAACATTGCGCGCTTATTCATTCCGCTACGAGGCTGCTGCACATGCAAACTGTGATACTAACGCTACATCGTGTTCTTTTGCTTGTGAATCTTTCGGTACTGAAACACATGATTGCCACTAGTATAGCCACTGCTCCTGCTCCTAGTTCTCCTGCTTAGGCTTCAACTTCTCTCCTTGTTGCAGCAACAGCCTCCTCCTCCTCGTCCTCCTCCTCCCACCACCACCACCACCACCGCGACGACGACAACGACCACGACCACAACCATGAACACACTACCGCGACCACACTACCACTACCACACTACCACTACCGCTACCACTGCTACTGCTACTACTACTTCTACTACCACCACTACCACTACTTCTACT